AATCATTGAGAAGCTACCATAGGCGAGGCACTATAATATGTGCTATGGGGGATACAGAGACAGATAAAAGTTTCTTTCCACATGAGTTTTATAACAGACTGATAATCCAAGGAAGCTTGAAGAAAATGCTTCCTGAAATTTGGTTCTCTTAGACCATGCCTAGTAATTGAGTTTTAATTATTGCAGAATCATCAGATGAGCCCAGGGAATGGGTTCTCAGGGCTGACCAAGCAGTAACTGACAATTCGATTGTGTATCCCATGGCCTCAGACTATTCTGTTTGAGTATCATCAGCATCATTAGTGATTTCTATTAGCCTCTTTTCTAAGTTTTAAGAATATGTGACTGTTAAATATTGTGGTTTATTAAATTTTTATTTATGGAGATGGGGGTCTTGCTACATTGCCCAGGCTGGTCTCAAACTCCCGGCCTCAAGTGATCTGCCCATCTCAGCCTCCCAAGTAGCTAGGATTACATGCGTGAGCCACTGCCTCTGGTTTAAATGTTAAGCACATTTTAACCCTCACCAAATCTCCGTGAAGTAGATACTGTTCTTATTTTATAGGTGGTTACAATGAAGTTTAGAAGTGTAAAGAAACTTACCCCTGCTCATGAAGCTTGTGAATGCTCTAGTCAAGATTCAAACCCCAATCAAACTTCAGCACCTGACCTTTGTCATCACCAGCCCACAGGACCATAGGCTTTTCTCTGAATCCTGAACTCCAAAAAACTGAAAATTGAATTTCTTTTTCATATATTTGCTGCCAGAACTCATTTTCTAGCAAAACCAGACCTGAACTGACTTGATTACATAGTCTTTATCGTACTTACTGGAGATGTTCATGTATTTCACTGCAGCTATGTTGTGGCTCTCTAATACTCTGTATTGTACAATGTATGGTATAGACTCCTTTTTACCTTCCTAAAATTGGAAAACCTTTAAATTCTGAAACCATCTAGATCTGCAACTTTCAGAGAAGAGATGAGAACCTGACTGCGGCCACCTCACGCCTGCCAGCCAGCTCTCACTGCTCACGACGTGCTTGTATCCTGTGGCTCCTAACAGGCTGCCAACTTGGAAATTTAAACATGTATACTTTCATTACCCCCAAAAACTCGTAATTGTGAAAAAATTATTAGTTCATACTGATACTCCCAGTTTCAGTTTAACACCAGAATTCTTCTACTTCTTCCCTATTCCAGAACTTCCTTTTTCCTGTTAAAGAAAAAAAAAAAAAAAATCGGCTAGGCGTGGTGGCTCATGCCTGTAATCCCAACAGTTTGAGAGGCCAAGGCGGGCAGATCACCTGAGGTCAGGAGTTAAAGACCAGCCTGGCCAACATGGTGAAACCCTGTCTCTACTAAAAATACAAAAATTAGCTGGGCGTGGTGGTGGATGCCTCTAATCCCAGCTATTCCAGAGGCTGAGGCAGGGAGAATTGCTTGAACCCAGGAGGCGGAGCCAAGATCGCACCATCACACTCCAGCCTGGGTGACAGAGTGAGACCCTGTCTCCAAAAAAAAAAAAGGAAACAAAAAGAAAAGAAAAAAAATTATCTGATACTTGTTAAAGATGGTAGGGAAGGCTTTATTCAAGAGGGACCCCTATAGTGGGAGTTTTGCAGTAGTGGGGAGAGATCAGGCTGAACTCCTAGTGCAACAAGGACAAGTGGAAATTTATAGCCAAGGAGCAGGGTGTGGGTCAATGGGTGGAAAGTTACTAAGAGGAAAAGTCCAGGTTGGAGGGGATTCTTGTTGAAGGCAGGCCAGGGTGATAAGATATCGAGGGTAGGGGGATCAGACACCAAGGGTAGGGGATTTTCACTGAAATGACTCAGCAGGATTTTTGGTAAGACTGGACTAAGCAGGTCAAGATAGAACCCAAAGTCGAGGCCTAGTCAAAAAGAAGACTCAGAGCCAGATGCGCTGGCTCACGCCTGTAATCCCAGCACTTTGGGAGGCTGAGATGGGAGGATCGCTTGAGCCCAGGAGTTCGAGACCGGCCTGGGCAACATGGCAAAACCCCTCCTTACTAAAAAGACAAAAATTAGCCAGGTGTCCCAGCTACCTGGGAGGCTGAGGTGGGGGAATCACTTGAGCCCAGGAGGTTGAGGCTGTAGTAAACCGTGATTGTGCCACTGCACTGCAACCTGGGTGACAGAGTGAGACCCTGTCTCCAAAAACAAACAAACAAATAAGCAAACCCAGGAGAACCTGGTTCAAGTTTGGTCAAAGGAGAGAGTCTTTGTCATCCCACAGTGAGAACATCAATGTTTCTTTTGTGATTTAAAGAGAATTTCCTTTCTGTTTAACCAGGATGCAAAGTATTTCTCCCGGCATGTGAAAAGCTAGACTTATATTTTAACTTAGATAATAGGGAATTCATTTTATAATGAGATTCACTGTGATAAATAGCAGCATTTTTAGTGCATTTAAAGTTAAAGTTATATTCATACAGAACCTTTTAGGAATAATATACGGATGCTCCTTGACTTACAGTGGGGTTACATCCTGATGAATACATCATAAGTCAAAAATATTGTAACTGAGAAATGCACTTGGCCAGGCATGGTGGCTCATGCCTGTAATGCCAGCACTTTGGGAGGCCAAGATGGGTAGATCACTTGAGGTCAGGAGTTCGAGAACAGCCTGGCCAACATGATGAAACCCTATCTCTACTGAAAACACAAGAACTAGCCAAGCATTGTGATGGGCGCCTGTCATCCCAGCTACTTGGGAGGCTGAGGCACGAGAATCGCTTGAACCCAGTGGGTGGAGGTTGCAGTGAGTGGAGATCGTGCCACTGCACTCCAACCTGGGTGACAGAGTGAAACTCTGTCTCAAAACAAAAAAGCACTTAATAATTAGATAAACCCATCATAAAGTCAGAAGATTAAACAATAAAAAAATCATAAATTGAACTGTTTTAAGTTGGGGACTGTCTCTATATTATTTGAAGCAAAATGACCAGAGCTGGTTGGATGTGGTGGCTCACGCCTGTAATCCTAGCACTTTGGGAGGCCGAGGCGGGTGGATCACGAGGCCAGGAGATCGAGACCATCCTGGCTAACATGGTGAAACCCCGTCTCTACTAAAAATACAAAAAATTAGCCAGGCGTGGTGGTGGGCGCCTGTAGTCCCAGCTATTTGGGAGGCTGAGGCAGGAGAATCGCTTGAACCCAGGAGGCAGAGGTTACAGTGAGTCGAGATCGTGCCATTGCACTCCAGCCTGGGCGACAGAACAATACTCCGTCTAAAAAAAAAAAAAAGACCAGAGTCATTTAAAATGTTAATTGCCTAAGGCCAAATGAATGTGTATAGAATAGATGTTGGAAGGTCATTGCGGGGGCATTTCACCCCTTCCCCTCTTACCTGAAGTGGGTATTTGGGGATTAAGGTCCTTATCACAGTGAAAGTACAAAGGAGAAAAGTGAATCATCAATTAGTTAAAAGATTTACCAAAGGCCTTCCATATACTCACTTAGGATGAGGGAAATGAGGGATGGATTATTTCAGACTTTCATCTTTTATTGTAACTTTTTTGAGAATGGAGAAGTGGGTCAAGGATGAGTGGGGAAGAAAGGTTCTGCAGATGACTTTCTAGACTAGGTTCTTTTTTTCAAGTTTTATTTGGTAGGGAGAGCAAATGAATAAACCAGAATGTGACTGGAAGTGTTAGAAAATTGGATTTACTTCTGAATCTCTGACTTGTTGCCTTCATGACCTACAGAAGAATAAGGAGAGTTTGGTAGAGAAAATTGTTAAATGAGCTCTGCTCATCTCTCTCTGGGCCTGGCCACGATGTTGCCCATTTCTGCGCAGCTTCCAGGGAATATGGAACAGCAAAGAGGCCTAGGCAGGGCGAGGGAGATGGGATGGACTCCTCAATACCACGGAGACCAGGAGGACCAGTGTTTGTCCAACACTTGCTCCGTGTCAGCCTCCATGCACGGTATCACATTTAGTCCTTACACAAACTAGTTTTATCCCCGTTTTACAGATTAAGGCAGCTGAGACTCAGAAGTGAAGCTTACCAAAGTTTTCACAACCTGCAAATGGAGGAATTGGGGCTGGAGGACATTTGTGTCTCCAAAGCTCATGCCTTTTCTATCAGGCCCTCCACCACCAGCCACCATGGAGTTTCCAGCAGGGCTGGGGGTTGCAGGCCAGGCTGATGCTAGAACTCTTCTTGCCACATGACAGCAGAGGAAGGAGCTCAGGTTTCCTCTTTTAAGTGGCCAGGTATGTTTCCTCTCATGGCATCTTGTTTATGTAAATTTTATGTACAGCCAGTTCAGGGAAGCCTCCAGAAGGCACTGACCTCCTTCCTTATGGTTACAGTGAGTCGAGATGTGGCACAGTAGATCCCTCTGCCTCTGACTACACCCAGGAGATAGTTTCTCTGGCATGTTTCTCTGGCACATGCCAGCCCTGTGTCTCAGTCAGAGCCTCTCCTCTGGAATCACAGGGTCTCTGGGGTCTGTGGCTACTTCCCAGAGGGGCAGAGCTACGGTCCCTGAAGAAACACACTGTAGGAAAATCTTAGGAAACAGTTGGCACACACAGTAGGTGAATATTTGTGAAATGAATGGATCCGTTGCCTCCTGGAAAGCCCTATGAACGGGAGTGGATTTACATGTTCTGTTACTTTTGTACTTGGCAGTTTTCCCACGGTATTTATTTGAAAACAAGTTCAGATTATATCCCAGGTCACTTTTATATTGCCGCTGGTAACGCTAGGAACGTTTTTGTGTTAAGAAAAAAAAAAAAAAACAAACAAAACTGCTTTCAAGGTTGCCTCTTGTAATGAATGTTCTTTTTTTCTGCTAATTAAATTATTTTCTTCAACTTGCTATTTCAAAGGATAAAAATTCAACTAGAGACTGCAGGATTATTTAATTTTCTCTTTCCAACCAGTAGTAACCGTGCTACCATGGGAGCACTTTATTTCTCCATCTGTTAGACTATAAAATCATGGAACATTTTTCATGTCTTAATAGGGAGAGATAATGCATGTGAGAAAACTTCATATATGTTTCTACGAAAGGAACTTCCTGTGCGGCTGGCTAACACAATGAGAGAAGTTAATCTTCTGCCGGATAATTTACTTAACCGCCCTTCAGTGGGATTGGTTCAGAGTTGGTAAGTAAACAATGTGGCTTAAAATGGATCTTCCCACAATGCTGTGAACATTTGGCAGCGGGACCATTCTCTGTAAAAGTGCACATACTGCCCATCTGGGGAATGAGTCATTTGGGATAGCTGGATTTTCCATGCAATTAAAAGTTTTTTTTTTTTTCTTTATGTGCTGTTTGTTTTAAAGTTGTTTTAATGAAAATGCTTGTAAATTATACTAGACACTTTCTTGAGTTTTTCTTGTGTGTGGTGGGATTGCACTTTTTCTGACAGGGCATCTGCTGCTTTTATCAAGTCCTAACCTTACTCCTTTTGTTTTCCTTGTAAAGACATTCCTTGAAGTCAGTGCTTCTTGTAGAACAAATTAAGTCATTTAAAGGGGAACCTCATATTGGAAAAAATATCAGTTCCCTGCTGTGCTTCATTTGCTCCATGAAAAGTAGGGAAAATTTTGACAGAGTATAACGTAAACTTAAATCAGTTATAGCTCTGATGCTTGAAGCACATGTCATTTAACTGAAGACGTTGAATTTGTGACGCAAAGTTACCCGCTAGGTAAGCAGGGTGAGATCAATGAATGGTAGGATGTAAGAGCAAGTGGTGTGTTTTTAGAAAGGGATTTGCATATACAGTGTTTGAGAAACATTTGCAGGTCTACTCTGTGTTTTAAAAGCAAGGTAGAGGCCGGGTGTGGTGGCTCACACCTGTAATCCCAGCACTTTGGGAGGCTGAGGCAGGTGGATCACTTGAGGTCAGGAGTTTGAGACCAGCCTGGCCAACATGGTGAAACCTCATCTCTACTAAAAATACAAAAATTGGCCAGGCTTGGTGGCATGCGCCTGTAATCCCAGCTACTCAGGAGGCTGAGGCAAGAGAATCACTTGAACCTGGGAGGTGGAGATTGCAGTGAGATAAGATCACGCCACTGTACTCTCCAGCCTGGGCAACAGAGTAAAACTCCATCTCAAAAATAATAAATAAATAAATAAATAAATAAATAAATAAATAAATAAATGCAAGTGGAAGTCACTGTGAAGAAAGTTGGAGGAGTTGGGGAGGTCAGATGCCATCAGTCCTCTCAAGCAAGCACAGTGCTGTGGGAGCAGAGAGAAGCGGACAGAAATGCAAGCTGTGGTTCTGCACTGCCCCTTGGTGGGTGGGTGGAACTGACAGATTGCAGGTGACAGGGAGAGCATTTTAGAAGGGAATGGCGTGGACAGATGTAAGGAGAGTGGAACTACTAATTAGCTCGCATCTAGAGGGTTAGTGGAGGCCAGGCTACTGAAAGAGAATGGACATTCAATAGTCATTCCTCCATAGTATTAATTATAATAAATTCATAGGGTTAAAATGAGTTGTCTGAGACACACTATATTAGGTGGTCTCAGAGGTACAGTGTCAAGTCTCTTTTCCAGACAAGCAGCAGCTTCTCACTGTGTGACGTGCAGTCTTTGGAATGCAGGAGAAATGAAAGAGACTGTGACTGTGGCTTTGATGTCATATAGTTCCTTGCATCCTGCTCTGGTTCCATAGCTTGTTTCAGAAAGAGCAGCAAGTTCTTGTTTGCACGAGACTTCTTTATTGCTTCAAGGCCATCATTAGAGATTTTCCAGTAGAAGGTATAAAATCCCAATTAGAGGCCACTGTGGTGGGGATTCTAGGTAGGCAGGATCAAGTCCCCTGATCCTGGTGGTGGTGACAGTTAAACATTTACTATTGCTTATGTACAGGCTGGGTCAAGGGCTTCAAAGTGAATTGCTGGGCTCTTTCGTGTTGTTTTCCAACATCAGCAACCAACTCCGAGTCTCTGGACAGCAACTGGGTTCAGCAATTCAGTTCAATCCTGACACTACCTACTTGGAGTCAGGGCACACTCCACAGCTTTACAGCTCAGCCCCACAAGAATCTCCCCTACTGCAGACACCAGTCACAAGTCCTGGGCCACCTGTGCCTCTGACTGAGTGGCTGGACATTGAGTTTCCACACCCCTTCTCTCAGATTTGATAATTTGCTGGAACGGCTCACAGAACTCAGGAAGATACTTTACCTATGTTTATAGGTTTATTAGAAAGGGTACAATTCGGGAACAGCCACATGGGAGAGATGCATAGGGCAAGGTATGGGAGGCCGCATGGAGCTTCCATGCCCGCTCTGGGCACACCACCCTCCCAGTACCCCCATACGTTCACCCACCTGGAAACTCTGATGGTCGTTCAAGGGTTTTGATAGAGCTCAATCTCCAGCCCTCTCCCCTCCCCAGAAGTTGAGAATAGAGCTGAAAGTTAGTCCTCGAATTGCTTGGCCTTTCTGGTGACCAGCCCCGTCCTGAGGCTATCTAGAGATCCCATCCTAAGTCACCACATTAGCATGAACTCAGGTGTGGTCAAAGGGGGCTCTTTATGGATAGCAGAAGACACTCCTGTCACTCAGAAAGTTCCAAGGGTTTTGGGAGCTCTGTGCCAGGAAGCAGGGACAAAGACCAAATGTACTTAAATGTATTATATGATACCGGCAAAGTATAGGCTCGAACAAATTGCTATGTCAACTCTGTTGTTTGGTTTTTGTCTTTTAACTCTTCCTTTTCCACATCCATTCCAAACAAATGCATGCCATTTCTTCTTTCTTGTTTCTTAAACATTCTATTTTGAAATACTTTCCTACTTAACAGAAGGGTTGCAAAACTGGTAGAAAGAATTCCCGTATACTGTCACGTAGATTCACTAATTGTGAACATTGTTAACATTTGACCACGTTCTACCATTGTCATTCATATTCTTTCTTTCTGTCTCACTCTCTGCATACACACACACACACACACGTGTGCGCACACACATATATATATCTATGTCTATATATGGCACACAGACCCATATATGGTACACATACACGATGTCTACATCATGCCCCTCTGCCGTGAATACTTTAGCATGTATTTCATTGGAACAGGTCTTAGAAAACCACAATGTGGTCATCAAATTCGGGAAATTTAACATTGATACAGTAATGTCTTCTAATATGTAGAACTTGTTCTTGCTTTACTAATTGTTGTGATACTACCCACATCTGTTTTTTTTTTTTTTTTTTTTTTTTTTTTTTTTTTTGCAATTTCTCCTCCTGATTTAGGAATCCACTTCAGGATCATACATTGTGTTTCCCTGCCATTTTTTCCTTTTAAAAATGAATATTATGCATAATGGGCTATGAACCCCACCACTGTCCCCTTGGTCACAGTATGTCCTCCTTGCTCTCTTGACTGTCAGGCTGGGAACCTCAGAATAATCTTTGGCTCCCTTCTATTTAAGACTTTCTTCAACTGTCCCCTCTGGAAAGGACAGGATGCCTACCTAGCTTGCTTGCGTGTGGCAGGGCAGAGGGCATCACTGGGGCTGGCTGGCTTTGACCTCTTGGTGTTTTGACCCAGTGATTTTAACAATATCTAATCCATAGCCTTATGTGCCCAGAGACTTTTATTTATTTATTTTTCTTTTTTTGAGGTGGAGTCTTGCTCAGTTTCCCAGACCGGAGTGCAGTGGCACAATCTCTGCTCACTGCAACCTCTGCCTCCTGGGTTCAAGCGATTCTCCTGCCTCAGCCTCCTGAGTAGCTGGGATTACAGGCATGTGCCACCATGCCCAGCTAATTTTTTGTATTTTTAGTAGAGATGGGGTTTCGCCATGTTGGCCAGGCTGGTCTTGAACTCCTGGCCTCAAGTGATCCATCCGCCTCAGCCTCCCAAAGTGCTGGGATTACAGGCGTGAGCTAACACGCCTGGTTTCCAGAGACTTTTAAAAAATATGTCCAGTGATGAACATTCATTAGTATCAAATGCATTGTCCAGAGTTCACATGAGGCTGATGAATCAAGTGGCATTCTCATTGGAGTATTTATATGTGTAACAGTCATTTTTAGTTATTGGAGTGTCCTCATCCTCTATCCAAAGGTGTAGATAATAGGATTAGTGGCAGTTAATGGTTAGAAATAATTAGAATAAAGGGATAATTCTTTCAGAACATGTTAAAACCCCAAATAGAGATCACATATCTCTAATTGGAATATCTGAATCTCCACCAGATCCAACAGATCCTGGCTTGATATAGCTACTGCACTAATGGGCCTCTCTGGATGTCATTTTTCTATGTTCTCCAGATCTTAATGTTGGACAGACTGTTTCTTATACTGGCCCTGATTGAGATATGGAGCTATTCTTAATCCAGAAGCTGTTTCTGAGAGTTTAATTGGCATTCTTCCTCCCCCATTAAGTATTGATGAAATTAATTTAACTTCTTCACGTCTAGTTTCTAAGTTCTTGGCAGGCACTTCAGCGTCACACATGTGCTTCTTAAAATATGTATGTACATTTTTGGTAATCAAACTATAGACTTGATATATAAGTTAGGATGTGTCTGTCTGTAAGTAGAGAAAATGAAACTGAACCTGGCTCATGTCACTAGAAGGTCCAGCCGTAGGGTAAGCTTTTGGTGTTGGTTTGATTCAGAGATTCACGAAGCTGTCGAGGCCCTGCTTTCGATGGCGTTGGCTTCCCTCCTGGTGGCAGAATAGCTGCAGCAGTTCCAGGCTTCCAATCCAAACAGCACACTGTACAAAAGCAGAGCAGGTTGGTTTCTCTGCCAGAGTCCTCCAGTGAGTCTTTTCTGTCATTTTACTAGCCTGAATTGAGACAGTATGTCCCTTCCTGAGCCATTCCCTGTGTTCAGGAGAATGCACGCAGTGATAGACTTAGACCTACACTATTGGGCTAATGAATAATTAGTGGCAAGAGAAATAGGATTGCCCAGAGAAGAATGGGACCACGCAGGATCTTTGGAGGCACCGGCTTCCCTGATACACTTGAGCCACATGGGGGATGGGGATGGGATGGAGACCTGAGTGAAAATTTGGAGTGTTCTTAGGAAGAGGGAGAGGAGGGGTGGATGCTGGGCAGGCAACTAACACAGTAACTCTTCTTTTTCTTTTTTTTTTTCATTTTAGGTATATGCAGAGTTTTCTTGAACTTTTAGAATATGAAAATAAGAGCCCTGAGGATCCACAGGTCTTGGATAAGTAAGTATGGTACCACTTACCTGAAAGTAAAAATATCTAGATAAGAAAGATTTTGGTAAATGTAATTCAAGTCATTAAGACTCAAGGAGTATGATGTGGACAAAAGCATTCATTTTCTTAATGAGTAATGACTCAACATTGAGTTTTTTTTTAATTCGAGTTAAGAATGTAACACAATACAAAAGTAATAATGACACTTTCAGTTTTGCTTTTCTGATCTAATTCTTCATACCTTTACCCAAGGTGAACTGGGCACTCACTATGAATACTGCAGTAAATGTTCCATCTAGTGGTAGTTTTAAGAATGCAGTGGCCTTTGTATATACATGAATTTATCTACTCAATCCTTTACAATTAAAAAAAAAAATTTCAACAGGATATTACATTTGAGCTCAAAAACTGTAGTGGTTTTGTTTTGGAGAGGCATAAAAGAGTACGTTTTTTATATAGCAACCTGAATTCTATTGCATTGCTCCCATTATGCACAGACTGGCAAATTATGCCGATGAGATGTTTCTGTTTCTCATTTTTATTTATCCCAGGAACACTAACTCTAGCTGTAAGTATGTTTTCCCCTCCAAGAGAAATTAAATATCCCTTTCACATTAATTTCTTCCTGTTTTATGTATATGTGAGTGGATGCATATGGTAGGCCTGTTGTACTGAGGAATTTCTAAGTATAAACTAGTCCACATAGTTGTGAGACTGAACACCTGACTTAATAGATGTTCCATAAGAAGAACTAGGAAAATACCATGTTATACAAGCAACCTTAGGAGGTATTTAACCCAGTCCTCTCAATCCACAGATAAGGAAACTGAGGTCAGAGATGTGAAGTGACTTGCCCAAGATTTTGACCATTCATAGCAAAGCTGGACCTATAAGTTATGTTTTCGTTTGAGCCATGAGTAGCTAGTTCTAGTCTAGTTGTAAACTAAAATTCAAAGGAAAAACAAAAGCCCTCACCTATTTTATACTTTGTTGGGTGTTTTGTCTAATGGATCTGTGAAATGTGGAAGGCGGGGAAGCATTGGGTTAGAGCCCCAGATGTAGCGTTTTCCGTGATATAAGCCACTGCTGTCATTTAAGCGATCAGGATTAAATGAATTCAATCCAGGAGCTTTGTTTTCTCAAAAGTCGTTAGCTGGTAATCATTTGGTGGAAATCGGAAAACCTAGGGCTGACCACTCTAGCTTCAGATTTTAGAACAGATTTGTAGAAGTATAGTTGGTCCTTTGTATTGGCAGGTTCCACATCCTTGGATTCAACCAGCCGCAGATCGAAAAGATATTCAGGAAAAAAAAAAAAGCAATAAAAAATAACAATGCAACAATAAGAAATAATACAGATTTTTAAAATACAGTTTAACAACTGTTTAAATCGCATTTAGATTGTATCAGGTATTATAACTAGTCTAGAAATGATTTAAAGTATCAGAGAGAATGTGAGTAGGCTGTATACACTGTTTTAGACAAGGGACTTGAGCATCTGAGGATCTGGGTATCTTCGGGGATCCTGGAACCAGTCCCCTACGGATACTGAGAGACGACTATACATGATATTAAATTTCTGCTATGTTTTTCCTGGAGTCCCATCTCAGTTTCTGGAACAGGTTATCAGATGCGATTTATGGCCATGAGCCTGCTTTGCAAACTGTCAGTGCTTAATCCAGTGTGTGCTTGACCATCGCAATAATAGCTGAGCTCTCACTCCGTGAGTTTTGTAACTTGCCTAGGTTCATGTGGCTAGTTACGATAGTTGGCATTCGAGAAGTATGATGTTCTTGGTGAAGGAAGGAGTGAAAGGTGAGCGAGTACCATGGTAGCAGCCTTTTCTGTTTACCAAGAGGTTGTATGGGATCACCAGCAGGGAAATCATTTTAGTAAAGCAAAAGTAGCTTAGAAGACAAGCATGTTGATCATTTATGATAGAGTTTAGAAGAGCCCGGAAGATTAGAGGAGAATTCTGAGCATTGAGCCATTGAGGTAAGTCTCCCCACTTCAGATAAGTTGACGCACTTCTCTACTATAATGAATCGTTTCACTTTAGTAATATTTAACTTACAAATACATTGCAATGAGTATTACATAAAGGACAAATTGTCCATTATAAATTTTTTTGTGAATAATGATGGCCTAATTTCAGAGTTTTACATCTTTATTGTCATTGTATGTATGTATTTGTTACAGAAATATTTCATCATTCAGAAAAATAAGACTATTCAGATAAGTAAAAAAAAAAAAAGCCGCCCCAATTTCTACTACCAGGGGACAACAACTATTACTATTTTCCTTTCTTCCATGCTTTTCCCTAGGCATGCATATATTTATATGTGTAAAATATTTGTACAAACATAACAAGTGTCAACATTGTAGATCTATGCCATTATTAATAGTATCATAATATTCATGTTAATAGTCCATCTTCAGATAGTTCATGTGATTTGATCGTCTATCACTGGATTTTAGACTGGTTTGTAGTTTTCGTGCTACTATAAACAATGCTTTAAAGAACAACTTTTAAATACATCTGTTGGCCGGGCACGGTGGCTCACGCCTGTAATCCCAGCACTTTAGGAGGCCAAGGCGGTCAGATCACCTGAGGCCAGGAGTTTGAGACCAGCCTGGGCAACATGGTGAAACCCTGTCTCTACTAAAAATATGAAAATTAGCCAGGCATGATGGCGGGCACCTGTAATCCCAGGTACTTGGGAGGCTGCAGGAGAATTGCTGGAACCCGGGAGGCAGAAGTTGCAGTGAGCCAAGATTGTGCCACTGCACTCTAGCCTGGGCAACAGAACAAGACTCTGTCTCATAAATAAATAAATAAACACACAAACAGCTGTTCACCTTGTCCAGTTATTTTCCTAGGATCAATTCCTGGAAGTGGAATTATTTTCTTTGGGCTTTTGCTGTATGTTGTTAATTGTCCTGAGAAGTGCCTCAGTTAAGCCCCAAACTCTAACTGATGCTGATACATGGAGAATAATAAGTATCACATTGTTTTAATTTGCTTTTCTTATTTGTAAGGGTGAAGTTAATTGGCATTTGTGCTTCTTCTTTGGTAAATTTTGTATTGATAGCAGATCCTTTGCCTAGTTTTCTGATGGGGTGCTAGTTTTTTTCCTTTTCTTAAGGTTTTTTTTTTTTTCACTTAATTTATTAATGCGTGTCCCTATAGGATTGCTAAAATTCTACATAGTCATATCATTTGTTTCTTCATATTATTTGTTTCTACCTTTGGTATTAAGCTTAGAACAGCCCTCCTTATCCCAAGATTATATACTTATTCACCTGATTTTTCTGTTATCATTTCTGTGATTTCACCCTTTTACATTTTTAATCCAGTATTTGGTTTAAGTCTTGAAATTAGGATGTGACTTAAATTGTTAGCCCACTGTTCCAGTTAACTTGATTATTAGTTTGATTGTTTGCCTACTGATTTGCAATGTCACTTTCTCAATATGCTCAATTTTTATATATACATACTCACTCATGGGCCTAGTTCTAAACTTTTTGTTTAGTTCCATTGACTGACTTGTCTTCTACCATTCTTAATGTATTTTCCCCTATGCATATTTACAGTAATATGCCAGATACTTGAATAGTTGAACTGCCTGTGTTCTATCTGCATTTCATCACTATATTTTACTGCTGCAAGATATTTATTTCCAAATTTTACTCTTAAATTGTGTGTATGAGACACTTCGGGAGGCCAAGGCGGGCGGATCACGAGGTCAGGAGTTCAAGACCAGTCTGGCCAATATGGTGAAATCCCGTCTCTACTAAAAATATGAAAATTAGCCAGGCATGGTGGCATCCACCTGTAGTCTCAGCTACTCGGGAGGCTGAGGTAGAAGAATTGCTTGAATCCGGGTGGCGGAGGTTGCAGTGAACCGAGATCGCACCACTGTACTCCAGCCTGGGCGACAGAGTGAGACTCCGTCAAACAAACAAACAAAACTCAAAAAACAGTGTGACGTGATTTCTTTATTCATGGAAGCTATTGCTTTGAGATTCCATTAATCAATCCTTGGAGATTTTGGGGGATTGTCCTCATGTTCTCAGAAGAAATACTGATATGTTCTGCAATTCTTTATTCAACTTTTATAGAACCTGTATTTATATGTAATCACTTATCCAAAAAGTCAGTGGATTCCTAAAAGGGTATTTGAGCATTTTTTTTCTGTACTAGAACCTTTTACTTTTTGCACCTCTGAAAGAAGGGTTTCTGTAGAAATAAGGTTGCAAGCAAAAACTTGGCTCATACTTTTAGTTTCTTGTGAGTGGTTCCTTGTTGTATGTAGTAAGAATAAAGTCTTTACTTATAAAAATACCAGCAGACAACTAGTCTGGGGACAGAGCTGGGAAGTCTGCATCAGCCCATGAGATATTAAGACTGACCACGTTTTGTTTCCCTCTCACACAGCTTTCTACAAGTTCTGATTAAAGTCAGAAATAGACACAATGATGTGGTTCCTACAATGGCGCAAGGAGTGATTGAATACAAGGAGAAGTTTGGGTTTGATCCTTTCATTAGCACTAACATCCAGTATTTTCTGGATCGGTTTTATACCAACCGCATCTCGTTCCGCATGCTTATTAATCAGCACAGTAAGTTGGGGTTTGTTGGTCCAGTTTTGAAAAGGTAACCATAGTGATTTCTCCCAAATGTTTTCCTGTTGTTAATTTACTGACCTGCATTTTTGGTTGTAGAAATTTCATTTCTAGTTTAGTTTTTCCTAAGTGAATCCTAGCCATTGAAAAGCTATTAATTTGTATTCTTGGTTAAAAGAAATTTTTGAAAGGCTTTTATGAGGCTCACATTAGAGACAGGACCACTGCGTACCTTTTGAGTCTCTGCTGATACAGCCCTGATGGGGATGGGGGACCGCCTTTAATGGCAGCCGGGCCTTCATCTCTGAATACTTTTATGTATCTCAGGTTGTATTCTTTTCTTTATCCTGGATGTTATGTGTTTTCCTTTTTAGTTTTAAAAACATTAACACTGGGAATATTGAATTGGATGTTGGTGATAGGAGCCATCAGTTCTTTGTTTCACAGTGATCAGTGAATTCAGATTAAGCCAGACTGTCAGCCCATAATCCCGTACTGAGAATTTTAGTCTGCTCTTTAGGGTACTAAGCAGATATGAAAAAAACAACTAAAATTCCCTACACACAAAAAACTTTTTGGCTTATCTTCAGCACTGTCTCTTTGGCTGATTTTATAATCCTTAAGGAAAAGCATCCACATGTCTAGAGCGTAATTCACCCTGTTTGCTGCATTACAAAGTGGACAAAGTGTCTTTATTTTACTAATTTGATTTATTTGGATAAGTGAATGTTACACAACTGTTAAATGTGGCTTTATATTAAATGTATATCCTCAAAATGGAAATGTATGACAATTCACAGGAATAAAAGAGCCTAAATACTATTCAACTAAATACTTAGATAACTCCAATTGCTTTCTGATCTAAATACACGTGTACACATATATACGTGCATGTTTTTAGGTCATTAGTTAAGCCTACACACCTCTGTTTTTCTTCACCTTAATCAGTTGGAACTTTATTAATTGGCCTAATGCCTGTATTTATCATTTTTCATAGTTTAAAATCTCCCCTGTTTTATTTAGGCATCCTTCTTTTGTTAGTCACAATTTTTGCTTCGTTTAAAAATAACACCTATAAATATTTGGATGCAGATTGCTTTTTCTTTGGGGCTTATTTTGGCTTTTATTCAGAAACAAAATTTTGCAAATCTTGTATATTGTGAAATTATCTGAGTGTATTTTTAAAAATACTTGAACAAGTATTGTTTGTGTATACAACATTGAAACATAATCTTCTTGGGGGAGGCATCTGAAAAGCTGCCAGCAAAGACATTTTACAGGCTTGTCCAAATGGTATAGACTACGTGTTCTAAATATTTAATGAAAGTAGGAATAAGTGTCTGGAGTAGTACTAAGAAGGTGGGTATACTTGACTAAGGATGAAAGTAAGTTTCTTCATCCATGTCACATTGGGAGCGGAAGAATGGGTTGGGCACCTGGCACATGTCACTACTTTAGAACCTGCTGACTGCAGCTGACAGACCTTAAAGCACATCCTCCTCCTTCATTGACCAATAAGAGTTGCTCACCCATGAATTGTGTGTATTCCATTGCTCTAAGTTGCTGTGGATGCTAAAATGATTTTTACAAGTAAGAGATCCTTTCTAAACATAAGCCCCTGTATTTCCCTGCGTGACCATCCCAGCCTGCTGTGTTTTAATCCCCTCCCTTTCCTTTTGTGTTCGTCTAGCACTTCTGTTTGGGGGTGACACTAATCCTGTTCATCCTAAACACATAGGAAGTATTGATCCCACCTGTAATGTGGCGGATGTGGTGAAAGGTAAGGAGACCGTTGTAATGGTATCGATTACATTACAAATTGGATCGTGGTTTATTTGAGGCAACTTGTCTATAGGGTTATTTTGCAGTGCAGTCTGCTGATTCATCAGGTCACTCTGGGCCCAAGCCACCTGATCCAGATGAAATGTTCTTTCTAGGCAGTTCAGGAAAGATGCATAATTGGTAATGCTCAAAATGTGAGTTTCTACTTTATTGGTTAGAGTTTCATTTGTAGTTCTGTCTCAAACAGTAAACCTTTAAGTAAGATTCTGAGTGCCACTGTTATCTGAAAATTTCAGAGAATCCAAATTCTTGTCATAAAATTAGGTTGAATTCACATGTCTATAAAATTTAAACATCTTTCTGTTGTTCACATCTGGCTTTAGAATTTATGTGGCATGTAAGTTTCATGGGTTCATTGGACATTAAGCTAGACATTGTTCCAGTATCCTCTGGGAAGAACCAAGCCCTATATCCGTAAGTCCCTGGTACCCAGGCACTTTGAATTTGAACAGCAGTTTCTTCATTATTTATTCATTTAAGATCAATGCTGTCTCCAAGAAACCTTCCTGGTTCTGAGCGATCCACCAGGTACCTCTTCAGTTTTCTTCAGTGTTATGGTTACTTTGTGCAACCTCATATCCCCAAATTGTCCCTTTCTGCAGATTATATCTCCTGTGTTAGCCTTTATCTCACTTCTCTAAACACTCACCTCACAAGTTTCATGGGTGCAATTCTCTCTGATCTTCATCAAGGATCTTCGTTGCTCTTCAGCAGCCATGGCAAAGGAAAAGCTCTGCAATTTGTTTACCGTGGGCATTCCTAAACCCAGGGAGGAGGACCAGACCTCTTGGTTTTAGCTTAGCCTAGGATTGTCAAGCTGCGCTGGCCTTTGTTGAGTCACAACACATTTACTCACGTTATTTCAGTTATAAGGTGAATCAGCCCAGCCTCAGCTCTCTAGGAATCCTATTGGTTGCTCTCTCACAAGATAACTTTGTGGTTCATCAGAACCTCCAAAGGCCTCCAGGGGCAAGGAGGAAAGGGTCAGGCTTATCATAGCTTATATGTTCATTAGGCCCTAGCTCAGTGCCTTTTATGAAACAGAAAACTTGGTTCAGACAGTTGATTACCCCTTTGAGAAAAAGGCATAATTTAGAAAGCAAAAGTGCATTGTGATATATGGTATGTGTGCCTTTTCTCTTGAACTGTAACCAATTTGAGGTCAGGGTTTGTGTCTTACATTTGTTTTATAACTTGCATAGAACCAAGTGTAGTGCTTGTGTAGGCGATTAATAAATATTCCTTGGTTTGATACATTTTAAATCTTTTGAAAATATACTTTTAAAAACAGCTTTATTGAAATATAATCTCATATGATAAACTTCACCCATTTAAAATGCTCAATTCAGTGGTTTTTAGTGTATTCACAGAGTTGTGCAACCATCACTACAATCCAATTGTAGAACATTTTCTTTTTTTTTCTTTCTTGTTTTTTTTTGAGATGGAGTCTCTGTCGCCCAGGCTGGAGTGCAGTGGCGCGATCTCGGCTCACTGCAAGCTCCGCCCTTCGGGTTCAAGCGATTCTCCTGCCTCAGCCCCCCGAGTAGCTGGGATTACAGGCGCACGCCACCACGCCTGGCTAATTTTTGTATTTTTAGTAGAGACAGGGTTTCACCATGTTGGCCAGGATGGTCTCGATCTCCTGACCTCGTGATCCACCCGCCTTGGCCTCCCAAAGTGCTGGGATTACAGGCGTGAGCTACCACGCCAGGCCTGTAGAACATTTTCATCACCCCAGAAAGAAACCCTGGACCCGTTAGCAGTCACTGCCTTCTACCCTTCTGTCTAGCCCTAGACAACCACTAATCTACTTTCTGACTCTATATAGATTTTCCTATTATAGACATTTCATATAAACAAAGCAATATAATATATGGTCTTTGGTAACTGGCTTCTTTCACTCAGTATAACATTTTCAAGGGTCATTGACATTGTAGTATCTTTCAGTACTTTATTCCTTTTTATGGCTGAAAAATATTCCATTGTATGAATATAACACATTTTATTTTTCTCTTCATGTTAGCTGGGTGATCTTAGACTCGGTTAAGTAACCTCTTTGGGGCTCACATTCTTCATCTGTAAAATGATGCTCTTGGTAATTCACCTATATTGTAGCGTTAAATGAATTCATATTTGTAGAACTCCTAAAGCGATGCTAGTACACAGTAAAGGCTGTAGACAGGTTTACTAGCAGCAGATAGTCCTTGGGTGTCAGACATGTCATTTGGCTTCCCATTTACGCCACTGATTCTATAATAGGTTGGTGCCTTTATTTTGTTTCTGGCATAAATTATAAAATATTTTTAAAAGTCATTTCAGGCTTTTATAAGACAGTTGGAAATTTGAACACTGCATATTTGACATTAAAAATATGTTAACTTTTTAAGTGTGATATTGGTATTTGGTGGTGTTTTTATAAAGGTGTACTAGCTTTGAGAGAGGTGTTTTAAAATATTTACACATGATATGAAATGATGTGAGATTTGCTTAAAAGTTATGCACAGGGAGGGGAGTGAAAAGGACTGGGCATTTGTTGAAAATTCTTGAGGCTGTTGATGGGCACATGGGGTTCATTATACTATGCTCTGTACTTGGGTATGTGTTTGGAATTCTTCACGGTAAACATATTAGTCTGTTCTCATGTTGCTATAAAGAACTACCTGAGACTGGGTAATTTATAAAGAAAAGAGGTTTGATTGACTCACAGTTCTGCCGGCTGTACAGGAGGCATGGCTGGGGAGGCCTCAGGAAACTTACAATCATGGCAGAAGGGTGGAGGGGAAGTAAGCACGTCTTCACTTGGTGGCAGGAGAGAGCAAGCGAAAGGGAAAGTGCTACACACTTTTAAACAACCAGATCTCGTGGGAACTCACTATCATGAGAACAGCAAGAGGGAACTCTGCCCCCCATGATCCAATCACCTCCCACCAGGCCCCACCACCAACACTCAGGATCACTATTCAACATGAGATTTGGGTGAGGGTGCAGAGCCAAACCATATCAATGAAGTTTTAAAAACACTTGTTTTCATCATCTTATTGTCTCTCCACAAATAAAGTCTTTCACTAATTTTTAGGGAGCTTTTAACCAAGAACAAATACAACCAGATAAGTAACAGGGAGTTTTATGAAACTGTTATCACTTCTATAGAACAGAGAGAGATTAAGTGGTGCTAAAGTGAGTCAGAGGTATCATAAGAGAATGTGAGGAGGAATCGACTGTGGCTTGACTTTTAACATGGAAACAATCTATCGTTTTATGGCACTTATTCTCTGTGTTTCTCTTCTCTCATATTTAGTACATATTACCCGGCCTTGTCATTATTTGTACTTTTTTTTTTTTTTTTTTTTTTGAGATGGAATCTCGTTGTGTTGCCCAGGCTGGAGTGCAATGGCGCGATCTTGGCTCACTGCAACCTCTGCCTCCTGAGTTCAAGCAATTCTCCTGCCTTAGCCTCCCAAGTAGTTGGAATTACAGGCAACCGCCATCATGCCCAGCTAATTTTTGTATTTTTGTAGAGATGAGGTTTCACCATGGTCTTGAACTCCTGACCTCAGGTGATCCTCCCACCTCAGCCTCCCAAAATGCTGGGATTACAGGCATGAGCCACTGTGCCTGGCCTATTTGTCTCTCTCTAACTAGGGTGTCAGTTTCTAAAGGTCTGGAATTATTCTTATATGCTTTTGCATCACTCCTCTTAGGGTCAGAAGTTTTGTACCAAAAAGTAGCTGAAGATTATATGAAGAATAGTTCAATACGTATTTGAAAGAAAACACTGGAAGTTTATGCCAACGTCTACCTCATAGCCTCCTGTTTGCTTTGTCCCTTTTAGTCACAATTTTGACCCTGAGCCACAGTCCCCTCCTTTTTCTTCCTTCTTCCTGTACCCACAGCTTTATCTTCAGTCTTTCTCCTGCCCTTATTAACTGTATTATACCCATTATTGTACTGTGAACAGAGTTGACTGCTTCTTCTTCTTTAATCATTTCTGCCGCTCACTGGCATAATTAAAGCTTGGAGTTCCTAGTGAAGCCCTATACAATAACAGTCACTTCTTGTGCCCTTCTGTGACTCAAAATCCCCCTTCCCCCAGCACACACACACACACGCATGGACATGTACACACATACAAATCCCACCCCCACACTCATGGGGTCAGCAGGAAGGGCTGGCACGCTCCCCATTCCCCACACCTCTCTCAAACCATGTTTTTTCATCTCTCAACAGCATCTTCCCTTAAGGAAAAAACACTGGAGTTGGTTTCAGATTCTGAAAGTGTATAACCCTCTAAAGCAGCAGTCACACAATCAACTTTCTGACATCCTTCATTCCCTTCATAAATGATGGATACCATACCCACAGCACACGAAATACTCTTGGCTTATATGCATTTTCTGGAATGCTTTTGTACTTCTGCTTCCACCTGGTGAGGTGCATGCTTACTAAGGGTAACTTATTTGTACCCAAGCCATTGGTGTAAGTTATACTCACTGTTGTGACTATATAATTTATTTAAATGTTACGTAAACTGAAGAAATATATATACATAAAAGAGACTTATTTCTGTTAAAACCAAGTTGAATGCTTTGGAAGGACTCTTAAAAATGTTATGAAATTACCGTGAGTAAGAAAACGATTAGATTACATGGCAACACAGAGTAAAAATCTTACCTGGAATTCATACCCAGGTTGCCTCACAAGTATCTTTAAGTTTATTATACTTTAAAGAAATAGGAATTAGAATTCATAGATGTAAGTGATATTCTTCATCCAAGAAAGACGAACTGGAACCCCAAACTGATCCACATTCAAAGGAAAGGCCTTATGTGAATATATTGACAGAGAAATAAATTGTATGTTCAAATGTGCATTTTAAGTTAATGTTTATGATAGTAATCAAATTTTATGGTTTCCCACTTTACCCAACATTTCTGTTAA